GCGTCACCCATTTTGCGTTCATAGCGCCCCCCCCCCCCTTACATTTTTTTGCCGTCAAACCGGTACAGAGTTGTCGTCGCAAACGACACTATCCTCCCGATGCCACATTTTCAACTTCTATACCTGGTCGTGGACCGTGCTTCAAAATGATTGACTCTGGAATGAAGTTCACCCGCGCAAGTACATAACTGAGCGTGACAGTGAAGCCCAAACCTTTCAAGGGCACGCTGCTATGCTGTGCCCCCAGAATTATCTGAAACCTTTTTGATCTTTCATTCCTCTAGTTGGGGCCTTTATTGCAGTTTTTGTGCTGACTGACTGATTTATGTGGTCAATCTCCAGCAGGACGCCCCTACACGCCTGCGTTGATGCGCATAAGTAAAAATCTGCGCAAAACAGATTTGGGATTGCGACTTGAGCAGGGCATTTCGCACTTTGACAAGTTCCTTTGGTAGTTCATGTCAACGAACCCTGTAAACTCTTGCGAAATGGTACACCTAAGCCGACTGATTACTGGAGTTTACAGACCATCACGAAGTTGCCTGTACAGTTTTCGCTGACTTTCATTTGTTGCCACCATCGAGCTAAACTGTGCTTGGATTTGCCCAGATGAGCAACGTTCTGCAAAGAGATTGATCATGAACTTTTGCTATCCAAGTTTTGCTTCAACATTCCCCCGCACAGTGGTCTAACTGTGTTTTGAAGATGAGTACCTTCATAGTGAGCTAATTCAAAGCGAGGTTCCAGTACAGCTAGCGGCACGTAGCAGACTTCAAGAATGAAGTTTCGTACCCTTTTGAGCATTGTGAGCAGGGAAAAAGTAGACGGAGCCATCATAAATGATTTTAATAAGACAATTTCGTGCATACGGTGCGCTTGCTGCACGTTTTTGAGCCCAGAAAGGACGCAGCATCTGCATTAGGCTGCGTTCATACTTTGCGGCAGCGACCAGCAGGGTCTCGAGGGTTAGGGAGGTATAGGTCGACTTAGCGACAGCAGCTATACCAGCGAACAGCAGCGTGAGCCGTGGAAAGTTATGCGGAAGTAGGAAGATAGCTACCTTCCCACCTTCCCTTACCCCCCATGCTGTCTGCTAGCCTCCTATCTTCCCATACTCCCCACTGCTGGACGCTGCTGGCAGCCGGTTGACGCTGATGGACGCTAGATCGATACCTATACTTTCCTGATCACTGGCGCTACCGACGCAATTACGTCGAGCTGGCTAGAACCGGCTTCTATGTCGCGAAGCCTTAGCTGGAAACCATAAGGTAGCTTTCGTACTTCGCGACAGCAGTGGCGATCGCCGCGATCGTCGGTAAGTGACAGAGCGCGCCCTAACGCTATTACGTGGGCCTCTCGTTTCTAGCCTGAAGCAAAAAAGATAATAGAAAACAAAAGCCATCAAGTCGGACCCACCTTTCCTTGTGTCAAACCAAGCTTTAGTACCTAAGACAATTGCAATTAAAAGGAAAAAGCACGAAACTAGGCTGGTTGTTCCTCATAGCACTTGGATTGGTCCAAGTAGTAGCGTTGGGGCGCGCTCTGACTCCTACATCTGACCTTCGCGCTCTTACGATCGCCACGACCGCTGCGATCGCAGCTGCTGTCGCGAAGTGTGAACGCTGCTTAACAAGAGTAAGCTGTGTAGTAAGACCAGCGATCCGTCTGAATCATCCACAGGCCGCCACTATGGAGTGTTTTTTCAGGCCGCTTTTCTGGAAGTTCACCGCTGAGTCGAGAGGAGCTAGGTCAACAGTTACCGGCAGAATACAGCCCACGAGTTCCTGCAGTGCTTCTGACTAACTGCGGGCGTGTGCTGGAAGCTATCCTTTATTGTGATCACTTCAGCGATTTGAGATCTTCACTACTTTTGAGAATTTTCGCTGACAAAGAGTATGGGTAAGGTCATCGTCACCCTGGTTTGTGGTCATAAGTAAGAGAGTCAAATTCTTGTTTCAGGTTATCCTTGTGTTCGAGTTTCTACGAAGAGTTATGGACCGTCAGGCTGGCCGATCATTTGGAGTCGTTCGTGGGAGAGCAGACCGCTCCCGAGCGTAGTACGGCATTTTGCCATCGATATGTTCAGGTTGGACCTCCCACTAATTTCATTCTTTCCTCAATGTATCCGTACCGTATTCATCTTTTTTCCTTTGTCCAATGATACCGGTGGATTTTCAAATGGTTTAGAACCTCGCAAGGAATAATGAAAGCTATTTGGCCATTGTGGGATTCGCTCTGTTGTTGTCTAGAAGAGCATACCATGATTGAGGATCGTTCTGAAAGGGTGGTATTGAAGACACGCAGAGGGTGGTTAGTGTCTGGGATGGGACTGCATGTATGAGCGATGTTGTGGGTATTTTGAAGGCCACATAAAGTCATGGTCCGTGCAAGCGACAGGGAGTGCGACTGGGTGTTGCCAAAATGGCCTTTCCATCAAAGAAGCTATCCTGACTCCGTAACGATTGCGAGAACGGCTATTCCGACTGCGATCCAACTCACGCTCACCCCCTCCCCTCCTCACACGCCCCATCGTTTGCAATGATTATACTGACGATTTCTGAACGATTACACTAACGATATGTACCTGACTATACTTGAACGGGTCCCCTAAACGCATCACTTTTCTGTTTTGCTCTACCCTTGCCCACCGAGGCACTGCATCCCCCTGCGACCATCCCGATTCCAAAATCTCATGTGCTACACGTGGCTCACCCACCCCAAAGCTCGCTCTCCGTGAAAACTCAGGTCCCCTGGCTTGCCACATGTTTTTTGCAGTTTTCTGTGCTTTGACAGCTGCTGCCTTTCAGCTGCATCGAGGGTTTGGCTGCAGGACCATACACAAGTGTTGAGCAGTCAGGCGGTTGAATTTGGAAAAGTGTAAAAAATATCTCTGCTCATTGGCCGGTATTTATAGCTCATATAGGAATGAGGAAAATGATGTCCCCATGCCGAGCTATCGCTGCCCTGTTGAACCGACTCTCCTCTCCTATGCACTCGTCTCTGCCTCTGTGCTGTCTTGACGCTCCCCATTCTCGCAGCCACGCCCTTTGTTGCCCTCTGATATAGACTGTACACAGCTCCTGTGACGTCAAATTTCACTTGCACGCTCACCAGGCTTCGTAAGATTAGACTTTCTAGGATAAGCATTGCTGGTGATTTCGGTAGCGCCAGTCCTTGTCTCCACCCTATAACCTTAGAATTGGCTTTCAAGTATTGTTTCCTTGCAGTCTGTATTGGAGCTGGACATATTCAACAAGGAGAATTACTTGGCGCGACTCCAAGCGTTCGCCATCTCACAAATGGAAGTGTTTTTCGCTCAATTACAGGTCCGAGCCCAGGATACCACTATTGTAAGTAACTGTGATTTAAGCTAATAATACCCAATGCAATGGTGCATTTTTCAGCTTCCACGACCTCCTGTCTACTGTGCTCCAAACATACGGGGCGATTCAATGGAATTGAAAACTTTCTCCAGAATACACCTTTACCTTCAAACGTTATTGATTTCACTTCAAATGACGAACAGAATGGGTATAGAGATCAACAGAATTCACAGTATCCTTTCTGAGGAGAACAATTCTGTGAGTTCCCTTTTCAGTACCTCTCGCTATGATCACTCCTTTTTGGACCTATTATTTACTATTTAGTCAAACCGCACGTGTTCCGTGCTGTGTCGCGCGTGACTCGCTAATTGTACTGATGGGCGCATCTTACAGTAGAGAGATCACGTGTTCGTTTTTTGGCTGTCTGCCGGAAAATTCGGGTGAACGTTCCACGATTTTCGCATGCTTCTGATGGAGGAGAGTGACGACACGACACACGCTGCGATCTTTTGTCCGCATCGCTGATGATGAAGGCGTGACCTGTTCAAGGAAGGCATGGGTGGCGCAGCGGACGCGTTGTGCCCAGTTTTTTTCCTTCTTCCTTCGTACGCGAACAACAAAGCTATTTATTCTCAGTATTATTTAGTACGTTTTTTCCATCAGTTGCTCTCTTACCCACCTGATGTAGAATGGTCTGGCGGCGCACCAAACGCAGACTCATCGGCACCCCCCTCAACCGCACCGACGAAAATGTTTATCTACCAAAAATGGGCTAGTTTACATTGGCAAACAACCTTTCGCGAAAAAAAAAAAACCGGTCTTTTTTTATAAAAAAAAGAACATCCGCTGACGTCTTACGAACTTGCCGGGATCAGACGATGTCAGAGGTCCTGGAAGGGGGGCTTATTTGGGACCACTAGCTCGGTCGACAGCTTTTGCATAAGGAGACCCATATTGTGGCGGCGATGTCGGAAATTTCACCGCAAATATGCAGTCAACACAAAAAATGATTGCACCGGGTCGCAGAGGTCAGGAGCCCGGAGATGGTGAACTACGAGCTACAGTTGGAAATACTTTATTTCCCGATATTTCACACCATTTTAATCAGACGGAAGGAAGCCAGGAAGTGCTCACGTCATTGAGTCACGACAGTCACGGAATTGGCTTGACTGACATGAGCAAGCCTTGCCGGGGATCACGCAAACTCCGAAGTGATTGTACTCCATGTGTTTCACGTCTTGTGCCGTCATTGTCAGCTAGCAAACTAGTATTTTTTGACCGTTCAACAGACAGCTGAATAGCGGAGAGCCTGACAGACCTTCGGATCTTTCATACTCTTTAACAGCGCAGTACATCTCCCAGCCTCTGTAGTACCTTTGGCCTGGTTCACAAAAGGTCCTATAACTCCCATTTTCACTTCCCTAACTCATGATTTAACGACGAATTAGTAGAGTGCACAGTGGAGGAATCATATATTTGAATTAAATGTGTCGCCTTCGAGATGAGAGGGGTGTCTAAAGGCTTGAATGAATATTACGAATTAAGTCATTTTGGTATGAAAACTGTCGTATTGTGATAGAGTAGAGGAGATGTCGGTAGCTTGAAGTGTATGCTGTTCTCAAAGGAATTCGAAAATGACTCACTCTGTACACTATAGGAGCAACCGCCTTCATGGGAGCAAATAGGTACGGGAGGGTACGGGTTCCTGCCCTCCCTTTATATGCCTTGTGACTGATGACGTGACTGAATAAAGACCAAGTAGCCAGAATGATTAGAGATGCCCTTTGCAGCTCAGAGGCAGTGGAGTTTAAAAAGAAAAGCGTTGATTATCCTCAACGACTGACTGTTCATGAACCTCGGCATCGTGTGTGGTCTTGTCTTTAATGAGATACATAGCCACAACCAGGGAATCAGACCACTTTATTCGGCTGAAGTTTCGGCTAGTCGCCTCCGTCAGCCTAGACGTCAAAGATCAGTGCTTCTGATGCTCTATAACTTCCAGGCTTTAGCGAAGGTGACTAGCCGAAAGCCGAATAAAGTAGTTTAACACCATCATTATAGCTACAGCGTCTCATTGAAGAAAAGTGTTGGTCCCCGTCGAGGTAGTTTTTTTTTAGAATCCTAAAAAGTATTTCTTCAGGACGACGTTCCAGTCATCGCAGCCAAAATACAATTCTCTGATTGCAGAAACGGATGAAGAAATGACTCAATTGAGATCGTGAGTCGAACGTTCCCTGTTCGAATTTCCTAAGCAGTCTTTTCCTATTGATGGAACAGCTCAAATGATTGAACTTCGTAATCATTCCATTGGGGATTAGGGAGGATTATATATAATCCTGGCATCACCGACGTTTCAAAGGACATCTTATTTGGACCTGCTTTATAAGCTGACCAGACGGGTTCATGCGCCAAGCTGAAAGTTGGCTTGACAGGCGTTTAATTCGTGAAAAAAGAACAGAATCAGGCTTTATGGCACCGAGCTGAAATTGTAAGCTTGTTACGGCACCCTCTGGATGTGAACAAAATAGGCCTAATAAATGTCCGTTCACGATAGTTTATGATAGTTTATTTCAATTCTGTTTCATTTAATTCAGGTGGCTGGCGCTCTCTAACAATGCTGATCGCGAACACATCTACCGTTTTTTATCCTTCATTGGCGAACGTTATCCAGAAAAAGTAAACTTTTCCAGAGTTGCAATTTTCATTTTTGTTCTTTATCACGAACAAATTTTTAGATTGCCCATAAGATACTCATGGGACCCTATTAGATATCCACAAGATGAGGAATTGTGGATGAAATGCCTAAATAGAGTGCAAAGTAATAGAGGGATTCTGAGATTATTACTTACAGAATGACTTGCCACCTCTTACTGATCTCAGTCGTGCGGTCTGGCAGCAAGCAATATTCCACAAGAAGAGTGATCCGGAGTACAAACCTGACTGGCTTTCTTCAGTGCTCACGACACATTACAAGGTTATCTTTTGTTCTTCCTTTCAGCTGCGTTCATACTTTGCGGCAGCGCCCACCATCGTTTGCCACCGTCCACAACGTTCCGAGCGTCCGGCAACGTCAGCGACTAGGAAAATACAAGTATCGGTCCGGTTTTTCAGCGTCTACCAGCGTCAACCTGCGTTCACCAGCGATCGGAAGTAGAGAGTATGGAGAAGTAGGAGTACAGCAAGCAGCTGGATCAAGCGTCGTGAAATTGCGGCGTATGCAACCGCACCACACAACTGCTAAAGCACAGAATTATGCAATTTATGTACGGTGTAGTGTAGTTGTACGGTGCGGTTTACACGCCACGATTTCACGACGCCTAGTCCAGCTGTTTGCTATCCCTCCTGCTTCCCCATACTGTCTACTCCCTGGCGCTAGTGAACGCTGGTGGATGCTGGTAGACGCTTTAGAGGCTAGATCGATACCTATACTTCCCTAGCTCCTCGAGACGCTGGCAGACGCTAGATCGATATCTATACTTTCCTAGTCGCTGACGCTGCCGGACGCTCGGAACGCTAGTGGTCGCTGGTGGACGCTGACAGACACACCGCTGGTCGGTAGTCGCTGATAGACACTGTCACAAAGTACGAACGCAGCCTGAACGTTCACACTTTACTACAATGATGGCGTCGCAGTCAGCGGGGCGGTGTGAGAAGGGGCGGAACGAGCTCGCCTGCGGCTGCCTTGCTCAACCACTGGTGATCGATCCAAAGAGAAAACCAGAGGCGGCAACGCTGTACGTGGAGTTTCTCTTTAAAGACAATTACCGCGATAAAGTGTTCGGGTAATTGGTGCCCAGTAACGAAGCAGTGGCCCATTTGTAACCCCCAGTGGAAAAAAACCTCGCGAACACCCGAACACAGACCTCCCTTTAGCAGTGGGGGCGGGGCCTGGACGAGTGTGCCGGACGTGGCTGCCAGAAATCGATGCGGCAGCCGCAATTGCGTCCCGACTTTCGAAATAGGATACTTTAAAGGGACGGAAGCAGCTCGGGACCGGACGCCTCGTCCACCTACCGTGTCAGCGAGCCTAGCGAGCCTTGTGGAAATCGCTATAACTTCCTTATCGCGAGGGATGAAAGTGGTATCATCTTCGTCAAGGCGTAGAGGGTTCCAAAAAGCACGAAGTCATTTTGAGGACCACTTGATCGCGGGGAGTGTCTTTAACCGCCCCGTCTGATTGCCATGTAATCAATTGTATAGTCTCAATACTTCAACTACAGTACACTCTTGAATTGTTTAGGTACCTCCTGCTACGTATGAGCTGATGCGATTTGTTGCAACCAGCTGGACAACCCCATTGTCGCTGGACTCTTCTCTGATTCCTGTTCTTCTGAGGTTACATCCCGACGACATCTGTTCGCCCTCCCCTTCAGTTCCGAATCGACCGTGCCATTCAGCTCGTACTCCTTCCCAACAACCGCCTCGGTCGTCTACCGATAGGATTTTTTCACCACGTGTAGATCTCGTTGGTTTGTATGCTGAACGAGCTCGAACGCTTCTAGAGAAGGACCGCCCACGAGTTCTGGTCGCGAACGAGAAGAAGATTCGAACATTACAGGAGAAACTCAAGAAAAACATAAAGATGCAGCAAAAGCTGCAGGACAACGTCAGAGAGGAGAGGAGTTTTCTGGAAAGCATTTCGTCTTCGTCTGATCGGAACAAAACGAAGAGCTTGCAACCAGCGCTGTCCGAGAGGGCGTCGCGGTCATCTGAAGTCTCCTACACAGACCTCAAAAAGGGCACTGAAGCGATTGATAAGAGTTTGCGCCTTCTTGACAGGACACTAAGCAAGATGCAAGTTTCAGTAGGTGGTCCAGTTACAGAACAGAATTCATCGGTGGCAGACTCTCAACGGACAGAAGGAGTGTTCGAGGATGTTCTCGAAACGGCCAAGGAAGACTCGAGTGGAGACGATATTCCAGATCCAGATTACCCGTCGTTGAACTACTATGAAACAACAGTTCCCAAAGAGCCGCTGCCTCAAATCCTCAAACTCGATCTCAGTCAGCTTTCTCCACAAGTGGATATAAGGAGGCAGACTGCTGCCAAGCCGCCGATCAAGTCTTCTTCTCAGCGGACGACGGCTCTGCCTGAGTGGATGCGACTGTTACCTCTTGACGAAACCAGTACCTCTAGTCGCCTACCGCTGCTGCAGTACAATCCACCAAAACAAAGGGAGTGGAAGACGGAACGCTGCACGCAGACACACGGTTCTTATAGTGATGTAACGGAGATGGCCTGTCAGACAGTCGAAGACGAGCGAAATCCACCGGATAGCGGTTTTCTAGATACCGTCGATAAATCGTCAAGTAAAAGAATTGAAATCATTCAGCCAATGACCAAACAGCATATACGTGAAATGCTGAGCCAAATGTGATATTATTCTGAGGGCAGATTTTATGAGTACAGTATCTTTCACACTACAATCGAATAAATTATTGTTATTACGGAGCAAGTTTGTAAATCAAGTATTGTCAGGAGATGTCAAAGTGTGCTCAAATGCGCGCCAGCGTTTTGAGCATCTTAACGCTTTTACCGACTAGGGCGCAGCATCGTGATTGTGCAATGGTGATGTAGGTACGACCCCCTCCCCTTCCCCAACACCTACCTACCAATTTCCCACATTTTCCAGTTTCTCATCCAAGAACTTTCCGTGAAGCAGGACGAAAAGTCAACGACCGGGAAAAGTTTTCTCCCAACGTGGCATTTCTCTCGGAGGCATATACGACCCTGCTTCTCTCCTAACAATCCCCAAATACGACTCCTCCTCCACAGCGGAAAAGAACGACCCCTTTATGCGTTTCACCCAACGCTGCTTACCGTGCTAGGAAATTATAGGTATTGACCCAGTGGTTTGAGCGTCAGACAACGTTTTGAGCGCCGTTGGCAGACTTCCAAAACGCTGGATCAATACCTGGGTTTCCAGTTGCTCAAAACACAAGCGGAACGCTGGAAGACGCACAAGACGTTGAAGCAAACTATGAAGGCACTGCTGCTGTTATTAAGAGCCGAAAGCGGCAAAACAACGAAAGGGGGGAAACACGCTTGACTGTCATATCTCTGCGCTAAATGAAGGAGTGGTCGACATTAAAGAGGTCAGTGATTGGAAAGCATTTGAATGCCTGCTCAAGAATACCTAGATAGTCATAAATGTGAGATTACAAGCTTCAACGTTCATGGAAGGGGAGCCGTTCAACGCCAGAGTCAGTTTTCGTAAGAAACTGGTCTATTCACTCTTCAAAACAAGCTTTAGCACAAATTCGACCATAACAGGTACCAGGGAACAGTTCTGCTTGTGTGTTTTGGGTCCATTTGATCTTACGGCTACTAGTATACATCTGCACCAGAGCACGTCGTGCGCTCCAGCGAGGGGGGGATGTGCGGTAGCTGGGGGGGGGGACGTCGTATATCTGAGAAAATTTTTTTGATGGTTGATTTTGGTTGTTCGCGGACGCTATAAAGAGGTCGCAATTGTCTGTGGGAGAATTGCGGGGTTGGAAAAAATTTTACCTCGTTGTTGACTTTTCGTGGTTTTTCCCGTTTCATATGTGCTATACAGGGGGGGGGGGGCAAAAAAAGTCACTTTGACCGAGTCACATATCAGCAAAGTTTTCGCAGCCCAGACAGAGGACGTGGATACGAGTACCAGGGCGGAAGATACCCAAGATGTTCCTCGATAAGCAGGAGCTGGCTCTCGCCCATCACCTTCACAGACCAAAATACATCCAATACACCAAAATATAAAGGCATCTTCAATCGCACGCCTGACTGGAGAAGACCTATTGGAATTCACGTCACCTCCAAACAGCTGCGAAACTTCTAGTATGGAGTCACTGGATAGCTACCTGGAGACCAGTGCTCTTGATCTGAGAAGACCCCCAACATCGAGCAGCTCCGACAACGTCGCTACGGTCTGGGCATCATCTTCACCGCAGTCGTCCAAGGCGCGGGTTGATGGTATGGACCGAAGTTTCTGCACCCCGGACTGAAGGTGAGCGCTGGCGGTTACATCGAGCAACTCGAGAAGAATATCCTCCCCACATGTCGTCGCCCGTACCTTCTTGGAAACTTTGTACTGCTACAGCATTGGGTGCCACCACATGGAATCGAAGGGCGTTGGAAAACTCTTGCCTTCTTTGCACTAGGAGAAGACGGAACTCAGTATGACTCAAGTAGTCACCTGACCTGAACTCCCCTCAATTACCCGGTTCGGGCGGAGTTCAATAGGGTGGTCTACAGTGGCGGAGAAATCAACGATCTCGCTGAACTCAGGCACCCACTCACGGTCGCGTGGCAGAATCTCTCGATGGCTGTGGCGGAGTATCATGATAGTATTTGAATATGCTCTTTAATATGGTGGTAGAAATGTCCGATCAGAATTTATAAAGTGTAACTTATAGCGCCTCGAAAGTCAAGGAAGAAAAGTGACTTTTTTTGCCCCCCCCCCCTGTATATCCCCTCGCTCGGCGGCGAAGTTTTAAAGAAGCTGTAAAACTGGAAAAAGTGGTGGGAAATTTGGGTGGGAAACCTAGAAAGGTGGAAGGTACTATGGGGTGGGAGGGATCGTAGCAGAGGAGGGAATAAGGGGAGGGGGGGGTCATATTTTCCGAAAATTCTCCCCAGCGGCAGGACTTGATCTGATGGGCACCCAGCCTCAAAGGTGCTCGCTTCTCTAGCGCGGGCTACAGCCATATGCTTTCGCGCCGAACCCATACGATATAGACGTTCGAGGGCTCAGAACTTTTCGTGGTGCTTTAGCCAGTCTCCTATTGCCATGCTCTGAATCACAGGCCAAACTTTGGAAAAGAGGGTCATAAATGGCAGCTGATGCAAATACTACGGCAGAAGATGGATTTTAACAAAGGGCGACGTCTAACAAGAACAACGGACCGCGCAACGGCACGGCACTATGCTTGGGAGGATTTAAGAAGAAGGGCCATAGAGGGTAAATAGGCGCAGCTCAGCTTGGTTGGGGCACCTTATCTTGCAAACTCGTACAGGTCACCTTGTGAGGACCGGTCAATCCCTGTTACTAGAGCGTCTCGCTTGTACCACTCCACAGCTTCATAAGAGCTAACAGGTCGCATAAAGGTGAAATCTGTTAACTAACAAGATCTAGCAAAGGGAATTAGCGAGAGTGTAGAATGCCCCTCCCAAGCCAGAAAACGCCTCTTTTGCCTCATTCTTCTCGAAGAGGGACTAGAGAAACTACAGTGAACAAGTGCACCATAGAAACCTTAGGAGAGTGTAGTGATATTAGTGTTGATAATTTTGATAATTATGAAGCACAGTTCAGTGGAAATTAGATCTCCTTCCGCCAAGTGTAAAAATGTGCAGAAAGGGAATGTATGAGAGGTACTTGCACACGCAAGTCAGTAACTTGAGCAGCAGCCCCCTCTTCCACTCGTATGCCGTGGCGGAAGCCAGAAATAATCCACGAACTACTTTCCATCTACCTAAACTGACCAGTATGGCAGTGATCTTGAGATTTGTTGCACTGAGCATCCCAAGGTTTACAGGTTTTATTCATCTTACGTCCTACGGGAATCCGTGTTATGTAGAGTTCTGTTCGGTGTGGATGCTGGGGCGTGCTTGGGGGCTGGATTTGTCACATTTTCCACCAACTGGGTGTCCTGTGCTCGCTCCAGCATTGTGGAGAACTAACTGGTGGCGCGCTAAACCCACCCCATCTTCCCCCCCCCCCTCTCAGAAATGTCGTATCAGCGAACAGCACTATGTCAGAAGTCCTTCTGAGGCATATGGCACGATAATTTGATGCTTGCTCTAAAATAGCAATAAGGGTGTCACATAGTGGGGGAAAATGTCGAATAACGAAGCTGAATCATCAGAATTCTGAAAAAAGTCCTTTGCTCGGCGCTGCATTGGGCGAGCATTTTTTACGAGTTCCCCATTGGCATCCTGCCAATAAGTGCTTTGCTGATACGGCTGCATGTATATATTCATACATCCATGTAGCAACGCTTCATATCAGCTGCACGTCCTGAATAAATCTCTGAAACACCAGCGACCATAGACCATAGAGCGACATTGATAGTGACCAAAAGCCTCCCCGAGTAGTATTCGGAGACGGTTTAGGTACTGAACAAACACCTCTAGATGGGAGCTCCGCAACACAAAGGAATCTGAAGGCCGATCGTGACTCATCAGATGTACAACAGATGACACGACGATGGTTTTCGAATGCAATGAGCCGTGAAACTGGTGGTGACTGGTGGGCGCTTCCGTAGATGAGCAATGAGTAATGCCTTATCGCCAGCATCGTTCGGTTATCACCCACGCCACTGCCTGGCGCTCTTTTCCTGTTTTCGGGTCATCACAGGACATGCGAATGCTTCTCCATCCAGCTGTTTCCATCCCTTCTTCTTTTACTTGACTTAGTTTTTAGTCACCCTAGTCACTCCTTGGTATTGGCAAGGGTTAGTTTTTGCTATGATGCTTACCGGGTTGTTTTGCCTGACCAATAAATCCTGCGGCAATCAAGATTCCGTTGCACCCTTTCGTACTCTTTGATGGCTTCGTGATTTCCAAAAGGGTTCGGCTTGGAGGGGCTTTTGTACTTTCATTAGTTAGTGTTGACAGGAAGACTTACTCAGGCGAGACCTGTCAAGTCTTGTGACGCTGTGAAGAAGGGTGAAAGTGAACCACTTCAGTAGTAGGAAATCACAAGTCTTTACAAAGTAGCCTATAGGAACTTCGCTGAGTACCACTATGTATCCAACCAAGTCGAACTCAGCCGAGGTCGCTCTCTACTAACGTCACTGAGTGAATTATGCTGTTCGAGAGGTGGAGGGGAGGGGGAGAGGAGGGAACGGTGACATAAGCGAGCAATGGTCCACGCACTTAGACTAAAGGGACCAACGTTTTTTTTAGCAAAATGCGACTTGTCGAGGAATCTTTGAGAGTCCCTTTCATTCATTTTATGATCCTTATTTTCTGACCCAGTGGTTTCTGCTGAAAACAATTTCTCTAATTTCAGACGCACTGGGATCAGTTCCACAGGTTACAATGTTAATTAACTACGTGTTTCTACTATCACTCGTTGCCGCAGGTAAGACCTCAGAATTTTTGACTGTTTAATAGCGTCAGAAAATTTAATAGCGTCAGAAAAAAGTACCGTAATCATTTACTGTGGTGTATCGTGCAGTAGACTTCGAGTTACCTTTATACAACCTTGCTCTTGGTGTTAATATGGGCACTTCTCGCGGGTCAAGGAGGCTTTTAGGTGGAACTTACTGGTGGTCTGATGTTCCGGAAGAACCGTCTTCTTCAAAGAATCAACAAGCCATCGAAAGAGCTAGGCTGCGCTACTTTAGAATGCGTCCATACTTTCCATTAGCGTTTCGAGCGTGCGGCACC